TACTGGGATTGTATATCATTTAATGTTCTGCGGAGTGGGCTAGTGAAATCTAGTGTGTGTGCACGTTAGGTTTTTCTCACTTGGGATTATTTTGGACACATACCTAAAAATAAATTAAATCTTACAACATTGGTCATGGGACATTCTAAAAAGTTTAGGCATAGTTCGCAACATAATTAAAAGATTTTCAAAATCCAGGTCACCTTGGGAATCATTTGAGGCTTGGGCCAGTTTTCCCATTACTGATATTTGCCTAAAACAAAGTGCCAATAAAAGAGTCCATTGAGGAAATTTTGTAATTTCTCTAATATGGTCTTCATTTAGCCACATGAGGGTAAATGTTTGCCATCGCTGCGTTAGACAAAAAACAAACCAGGTTTCTAAATTGAGCAAAGTATCTTCTTAAATTAAATCTAATTGCACACAAAGTAAACTACATTAAAAATATTATTAAGGTTGCAAAATCAAGCACTCAGAAGTTAGGAAATGCCAGAGTTAATGTTGCCAGTGCAAGCTTAATCTGGCCCCTTTGTGCATATGCAATAATAATCTTAAATTACACAGTCATGTACTATTTTTTCCCATAGAATCCCTGTCTCATTCAGAGCACAGGATGGACAAGGATCACTTAATGGGCAGTTATTCAATATTTCGTTTTACCATCAGTCAGCATGTGGCCCCATATGTTATACTAATCAAGCCCAGCTCTGAAGACAGAATTATTAATTTCCTTATGAACTTTTATCTGGTGCTCATCACTATAGAATCAGTGTGTTTCACAAAAAATATTAATATTGAGAACACTCCCATGAGGTGAGAGGACGGTATTATCCCCATTTTACAGAACAGGAGTTGAGGCACAAAGATAGTATGGTCAAAAGTGTCCCCTTACTTGGGATACTCAATTTGAGAGTACTAGGACCTGATTTTTCAGAGTGTTTAGTATTGTATAGTATGCTAGAGATAGAGTCTAGGCGGGGGGCATTTGTGTGTGTAGGGATGTCGGCATGCATGTATGTTCAAAGCACAACTCCATTTGATTTCAGTTGCAACTGTGAGTGCTCAGCAATTTAGCAAATCAGACCCCTAGGTATCAAGTTCAGAACCCAGAAAATGAGGAACACAGAGTTAGTGACCCCTCTGTGAAATGTCCGGTTTATGTGACTTGCCCAGCATCACGTAAGAACTCTGTGGCAGAAGTAGAGATCGAATTCACTTATCCAGGGCAGCATTAAATCGCGTTATCCATGAGACCATTCTTTCCTTTCCTACAATCGTCTGCCTCATTCACTACATACCTTAAAAGTTCTGTAACAAGTGAAGCAGGGGTCTTATAGACAACAGTCTCCTTCATTACAGAACCTGGATTCATTCCCCAGAGCAAGTCCTTCCTGTGCACTTAATGAGGCAGGGGTCTTGTGGAAAAAAATAGCATATGATCAAGTAATTAAAGATTATCCTGCATACATGTAAAGGGACACAAATTAAGGCTGCCTAGATAAAATCTGACCAATGAATTATCTCACCCACTGCCCTGTTTGGAAAATGAGATTCTGGTATGCATTTCAGGTCACATGAGTATCTTATGTTCTACTTAGGGATCCCAGTTTTGGGTGGATGTGTTCCTGGAGATTTCATCACATGGCAAAATCTTTAATTAAAGATCGATCTTTAATTCCTGAGACTCCAGGGACAATCCTAGTTGGCAACCCTAGTTCTACTTCGATACACCCTTTGAACTATATTGCTTATTTGAAATCACCTCTACATCATGTCACCCTCTATTGATCACTTCCAAATAGACTGTGAACTGTAGTAAACAAATCCTGTTGTTTAGGAGTATTTCTTTGGCTCAATAAGTCCTGGAAGAGTTAACAGATCATTAAGTCCGTTCGTTTTCAGTTTAAATCGATTTTTTTCCAATTTTCACTCTATTTTTGTATCATTCAAATATTTTTTTTAAAAAGTGAAAAGGATGAAGTTGAGTGTATGTGCTGCAAACGATGTGGCCCAATTATTAAATGTAAATATTTATACGCTAATAGTTCTAAGTCTACAACACTAAACTGTTTATTCAAATGAAAAGTTTTATTTGGGGATTAGAGATATATTGTTTTCTTAAACTCAGAGGTGGCGTGTTTTGAGTTCTGTTTTAATTCTGCAGCATACCACATTGAATTCCATTAACGAAAGCATTAATCTACTGAATACTTTTTCCTCCTGTCCTTCTGTCCACCAAAATAAACCCTGATATTTACCCAGAAAAATTATTAATGTTTTTTTCCACTGATTTTTCACCTATTTTTGTTTTAGTAATAAACACAAATAAATTCCCAGGAAAAATTAAATAAAATAAAAACTGAAAACGAAGGGCTCCACAGATCAGTTACTCATCTACACTCTCCGCAACTGGAGGTGGGTGCATTGGTGGTTTTCTGCCACGTTCCCTTCCTCTCCCCACTTCAGTTCTGGTAACAGCTGGGAGCCATTGTGGCCCTGGTACTAGATAGAACAGCATCAGGACTGTTCAAACTTGTCCCCACTTCAGCAGGCTCTAGGAGCTATTCCATTGGCTCAGAATTGCCAGAGCACAGCATGCTTCAGCCTGCTAGGAATGGGTTGCTAAGCCATCTCTGAATCACCAAGGCATTCCCTGACACACTTGGTGCTTTGACAGTTCTCTGCCAATGGAAAGGGGATGGAGTGAGGGGCCAGGATCTGACCCAGAGTGTGTGTATGTAATATAAAAATAAAATCAATGTGATACCAGGAGTGTTGCTTCAATCTTTAATATTATGGAGAAACAAATCTTTCCATCGTTGTTTGTATAAGCAAACATTCCATGTAATTTTTATTTGTATTATTATCATTGTGCAGAGGACCCCTAGTCATGGACCAGAACCACATTGTGCTACGGGCTATACAAATCATTTTAACAGTCACATACCAAAACCGAGTAGTCATATCCTGGTCACTTCCCCCAACACCTAGTAGCCTGCAGTCTAAGCCTGCTAGCCAGAGTGGAAAGATACCTATGGTACATCTCTGTACTATACTTTGCTCTCTAATATATCGCATTTCTCTTCTCCCTTCTGCCCCCGTCCCGTCACAGACCCACCCCTACATAGGGTTAGGAAATATTACTAGACCCCAAATAGCTAGAGTGTGACACTTACTAGCCACAGACATTATGAGAGATGGGAGTAGGAGGCAATACTTCAGTGAGAAGTCAAAATCTCCTGCAAACTGGTGAGAAAGGGGAGGGCACTGAGATTCCTTCTAGCATGCTGTTTCTGGGCCATGCTTGGGGGGCTTCATTTTAATTTCTGCCCCAGGCTAGTATGTGTCTGAATTTTGAAGCCTCTCTGAATCTTTCTGCAAGGTAGAAAAAGTATTCCTTCTCTCTGTTCCTTCCCTTCATGCTCCCATGCAGAGCCTCCAGGCTCTTATGTGGGTGACTGTAGAGGGGGATTGACTGGTGGTGGTGGTGGTCTGTTTCTCTACCTTCCTTCCGCTGACTTTTCTATCTTCCATGTGTTGAACTGTGGGGAAGATAGGTTTAGAGGTGGGACAACTGTGCCTAGTACTTGCAGACAGGCTGCTGTGCAAGCATGAGCTCCCTGACTTATCGGAATAGTCCGTGAGGTAGATATGTACCAAAATCCAAACAAAATCTTTTGCTGCGCTCCAGTGTCTTTATAAGACTGTGGAGAGCAGCACCATTTTACTGTGGGTTCTCTAAGGCAGGAGTGAGAGGGTGCGAGAGTACCAATATGGACACAAACTGAAATACAGAATAGTCATAAAGCAGGTTTGCAAGCCAATTTGTACTGAATTGGGAACAGTGTGCACGAGAGATGCCTACTGATCTGCCTGGCACAGCACCTTCTTTGGGAGTGAATGACTGTATTGTGAGATTTTTTAATTAAACAGTCACAAAGAAACAGAATGGTCTCAGAAACAATAAAAGCTGTAATGCTGATTGCTTGCAGATGTGTAGTGAACTGGGGGCACAATAAATGAGAGATTACCTCCATATTTTCCTGGCATGCCACCTGCCTCTGTGAGTGTGAGAAATGTCTTATTGGATTGGAATGATTGCACTACAATAGAATTGTTGGGGGAAAGCTGGGATGCCAGCTTCCTTGCTGCCTGGCATTGAACTAGGGCTTCAGGCCCTTTAACACTGAGAACTCTGGAGAACCAACATAATTTTTACTTTTGAAAGGTAAAACACAAATCCCCCAAAGCATCGCCATTTAAATATCCATTCAGTCATTACAGAACTTGTCATCATAGGTTTTGTATTTTCTGTTGCTGTTGGACCCCTAAGCAGTTATTGCTGATGTGCTGCTCTGTAGTTTCTGTCTTGCTGAGTCCATGGTTTAACTAACAGTAGGTGGGACTCTTCCTTCTGACACTCTACTGCACCAATGCCCCAGCAGGGTGCTCAGGGGGCACCCTGTGAATAAATTAACAAACACATGTAACCCTTTTTTCAGTTCATGAATAATTCATGGTCTTTGATTTTCCTGATTGTTTGCTTGAAGTTGTTCTGATGCTTTATGAAAACACATTTCAGCCAGTAATTTGATCACAAACTATCTGCTTCATCTGGGTCTTCGCCTATTTATTGTTCGTGGTGTGTGAATAGCATCCTAAATTGCATGGTATTGTTCCCTGATGTGATGACAAAGGGCTGATCTAAATGAAAGAATTACCGTTGGTTTAGCTAAATCTGTTTTAAAGCAAACTAGCTAAACTAGTGCAAACTTTTAATGTATGTGCACTTAAAATGGCTTAGCTTGATTTGGGAAATACCAATTTAAGCAAAACTGATTTAAGTGAAGATGAACATTAAGCTATCAATTTTACAGCGAATTGAAATTCAGCTACAATGAGAAAATCTTTGTGGACAGAAAGAAAGCTAAGATATTATCCAACTCCAAAGGAGGATCTGTTGCAGTGTGTTAATAAACTTTTTCATAACTTTATTCTAGGTTGGTACAGAGGTTACACATTAAGAAAAAAATCAAAAAAGGTAAGTGTTCTATTCCCAGTTAGAAATTCATTTTCTCTTGTAACAAATATTTGTTATAAACATATGTCAGATTTTGCATATTGGAACTTTGTTTAAAAAGTCAACTAAGAACTTCTATAAAACTTAAAATTTAGTTGATCTGTTATGCTAATGTTAGCTTCATGTTCTGTTAAATACTGAATTACTCATAAAATGCAATTGCATCTTGCAAAGTGATAGCATTGTAATTTTCAGCCATTCTCTGTGAAAGATGGAGTAATCTTGCTTTCTGCAATGCAATTTTGCCTTGTTGTTGGCTTGAACTGAGCATAAAATGTCTGTTGACAGCAGACATTCCAAAACAAAAAGGAACAGCTGAACTATTGCCTATAATGTTGCATTTTAATTTTGGGGGGGGGGGGGGGAGGAGGGTTAATTTATAATAGTACTTAACCAGAATTAAAGATTTATAGTCTTGATTTTTACCTTTTAAAATAAAAATGTTTAGAAAGACATATTTGCATACAGAAATGAACTTTGAGCTCCTTTCATTTGCATAGCCTTCTGCATGTCTAAAAGTAACCAGAGTAATTACATATTGAATTCTGTGGTAGGCCTCTCCCATTTCCTAACCTTTTGATTTTTTTATTCCTTTTTGTTATTTTTCTTTTGGGGTGCTATGTTAAATTCTTTTGAAGTAAAACTTCAAGAATGTGCCTCGCTAAATTCTAAGTAGTGGATATTTAAGTTGACTGACATTAATTCCAGGTGCTGCTGTATTAATCTGATTGCTGCTAAATGTAGCAGTCCTAAAAAAAACTTCTTTTGTTTTGAAAGCTCTTACTGGTTTTAGAGAGATTTCCTATATTTAAAATGGGGAATTCCTGTACAATCCTTTTTTAATTGGTTGTAGGTGTGGTGGAGACTCACCTGACCTAAATTAACGCTAGTGCATCTTGATTGATTGTGTTTGTTTTGCTCCCTGTAGAAAACCTCCTGAATGCTGACAGTGTTAATACCTATGTATTCTTACTCTTTCTCATTCCATTTCCACCCCTCCGCTTTCTTAAGGCTTGGAGCTAAGTAGAGAGAGAGAACTTCTTCCTATTACAATATCCTGGGCTTTCTGCTTCCATTCCTTTCTTGGCTTTTGTCTAGATTTTGCAGCTGACCCTTTTCTTGCTTGCACATCCCGTCCTTGACCTCCTGAGACTCTTTCCTCTGACCAGTGTCTCTTGGTTGTTCCTCTGGCACTTGGCATTTTCTCCTGGTTTCTGAGTCTGTTCTTCAGCTATGTTATTCACTCCTTTCCCCCACCCCTCTTTTGTGTATCTAATGTGTTTCATATTCAAAGGATTGGGATGGAGGTTAAAAAGAAAGTTAACCACTCAAGGGCTGTAACTTGGCTCCCTCAGTTAAATTAACTTGTGTGGGGGTTATGTTAAAGTGGCACTAAAAAAGTTAATGTTAATGTGTGCGTGAATACAGACTTTTACAGCACAAATTGCACAAAATTTGGTTCAGTTGTGCTTCTCTACCTTTGAGAGCTAGTCTAGGTAACTGGAAAACTTGCTGAGGTAAAATAAAATCTATCCATCCTTATTAGTGTTGGTGCTGAGTAAGATCTGAAACATAGCTTAGATGTTTGTGTGTTTATAATCTCAAAATGTCTACTCTTTTTGTGTGTGTGTCAAGGCAAGATACTTGGCCACTAGTTTTAAAAGCTGAGCTATGGGAAAGGTATCATCTTATCCTGGTTTAGGGGCATTTGTTAACTTTTAAAATCTAATTTGAAAGTTATGTCCTAATTCTAGGCTCTGTAATTGGGGAGAGAGGCAACAACTCGCTTTTAAAGTGAAATTGTTTCAGGCAAGCAGCAAACTTCCAGCAGAAATCTTTTAAGATATCCCTCATTGAAATGTGTATGCCTTGCGATGGTAGAATAGGTTGGTGTGTATGTGTGGGACACGTGTGTGTTACTGTGTGGCCAAGTCAGGTAACCAAAGGTCATGTGCAACCCTAAGGTGGTAGTTCCTATAACAGGGAGTCTGTTGGGGCAGACAGGGAAGACCAGGGTCAGGAGGACAGCAGGAGATACCTTTAGAGAGCAGGAGTAGAAACCTCAGCTGGGAGAGGCTTAAAAACAGGATAGGCAGCAGGGCCTGGGTTTGGGAAGGAGCCATAAAGTCTGTGAGGGAAGATTTGTGTTGAATTGAGTTGAACTGTTTTTGTTAATGAACCAGACCTAGAGAGGGGATGTGATTTAGCCCATGAGTCTATGTGCCTTCTTCTGGGAACTGAGTTGGGGAACCTGAGGCAGTAGATGCATGAGCAGAGGGGGAAGTGCATCTCCTTACAGGCCACTGTACTTTAACTAAGGAGCTACCTCTGCTGTATAATGCAGTTTTATAAAGATAATATATAAAGTTAGGGACATAACGGTTTTAAAATACACATACAAAATCGAATTCAGATCTGAGACATTCATAAAATAGCCTATTTAATGCTATTGAATAGAATATGAAAAATTCTGTGCAGAACAGAGTGTAGCTATTTGTTAGATAATAATTAGTCTGAATGTATGTATGTCGAGTTACTTATATATATAAAAAAAACTAACTCTTTTTCCCCCCCAAAGGGCATATTTCCTGCTTCCTATATTCAGCTTAAAGAAGCAATAGTTGAAGGAAAAGGGTGAGTTGAGACTTGAAGTTTAACAAGAATAAAATTTCCTATTTGTGGAAATATAATTTCTGTGCTTTTATGAGATAGGCTAATACCTCATTTCCTATTGGCTAATGAAAGGATGTGCTGAACACTTCAAAATTGATTCATAGATCTAAAGGCGAGAAGGGAACCATTAGGAGCAAATGTCTGACCTCCTGTGTACCACAAGCTATACAATTTCATCCATTGATGACTGCATTGAGCATGATAACTTTTAGTCTTGATTTAAATGCTCCAAATGATGGGGAGTTTATTGCATTCCTTGATAATCTACTCCCGTGGTTAATAATTACCCTGACTATTGAGCAGTTGAGTTGCATTTTCAGTTTCATTGTTTCTGACTTCAATTTCCTGCCATTGGATCTTATGCCTTGCTCTAGTAGGATAAGGATGACTCTAAGAGCAGATACATTCTCATTATGTAGGAACTTGTAGATGATGTTCAAGTCAGTTATTGACCTTTTCTTGAATAAGCTAAGTAAACTTAGCTCCTCATGGTAAGGTATCTGTTGTTTGTTGCCTTGCTGAGAAGCATTTCTACAAAAGATCATCATCTCCATCGGTGAATCCCAGTGCCATATTTTGTGGTGTTGTGTACATTCCACTGTCCTGACTTCACTTGCCCGCAGATGTTTTGAGCTGTTATATAAAAGCAATTTATACTAATGGAAACAGTGTTACCTTGATATGTATGAATTTGAACTTTGTTACCAAGTTACTATACATGTATATTAAAGATCATAATACCGTTATAGAAGATCATTTAAAAAAGATATTTGTGAAACAAAAGTAATATTGAGTGGAATTGACAAATGACTAGCCAGATATGAACTTTGGTGCAAAGAATTAAAATATTTCCTCCTTTTTGCCTGATCTTTTTTTAACCCTCTTAAATATGTAAATGATAAAACTACTAATCAGATGATTACTGCATAATGGCATCTTCCTGGCTGATTAGAAAACTGCCACTAAGTGCTGCACTTTTGACATGCTAAAAGAGCTAGCTGTCGTTCCATACTCAGATGATGGACTATTATAAAATAGTCATCTAGACACACCAATGGTGAACACCTACAAAACAGGTTTTTCCTGTGTAAAAACAGTATTTTGCTAAAGGATCAATCATAATGGCATGGTCTCGTACATGCCACATAACTGGCTTTCCCCTAATCGGTTCCTACAAAATTAGTACATTAGTACATTACAAAAGAAGTAAATAGTGTGATACACGTGGAATGTTAAAATTTGTGGAAATAATACTTAACTCTCATATAGTGCTTTTCATCAGTAGATCAATATTGTTATCCCCATTTTATAGATGGGGAAACTGATGGACAGAAGTGAAGTGAGATTTGTGCAAGGTCACACAGCAGGCCAGTGGCAGAGTCGAGAATGGCATATAGTGATCTACAGTATAACTTGTAATATGTTTGTTTTTTCTTTTGAATCCTGTTGTCATGGAATCGGATTTGAAACTTAGCAATAACCACTCGTGTCTACAAATTGGAATATATTAATGATTTTACTATTCTACCAAAAATTGTTTTTGCAAACTTTAGACAGCATGAAACAGTCATACCCAGTGAGCTCCCACTAATTCAGGAAGTCACCACAACACTACGAGAGTGGTCCATAATATGGCGGCAGCTATATGTGGTAAGTAAAATACGCTGTCCCCCCCCCCCCATATTTACAGTATTCTGGGCTTTATGACTTGGATGGAAAGAAGGAGAAAAGACAGATATTTAAATAATTAGGAATAGTAGAATGTAAAGTACACAGAGTCTATTTAACCAAGGTCACTCTTTCCTTACTCTTACTCTCCCAAAGTAGCTCTGAAACTCATTTTACAAAGCTATTTTGGGGCTTCTGTGACAAGGCAACCTGGAGATTCAGGTGTTTGACATAATTCTCCATACTGTGCCATGCTCTGAAAACTGTGGATATGATATGCAGCATCAGGGACTTGGAGAGCAGGTCTTGGTATAGCACTACACCTCTACCCCGATATAACACTGTCCCCGGGAGCCAAAAAATCTTACTGCATTATAGGTGAAACTGCGTTATATCGAACTCGCTTTGATCCGCCTTAGTGTGCTTTACCGCGTTATATCCGAATTCACGTTATATCGGGTCGCGTTATATCGGGGTAGAGATGTATCTTGTGTTCTTATGAGACCACGGCATGCAGTAAGAGCTGAGAAATGATGCAACATGATTTAGTAACATGCCTGCCTGTGATTTCAGTCACCGCACCAAGAGCTAGTGATATGAGCAGGTCACCCTGGAGGGTTGTAGATTTTTTTAAACCATATCAGATTTTTTTTTTAAGTCAGAGAAATTTTTGGGCCTATCAAACTTTTCATTGATATTCTATGCCAATTAATATCAACTGATGTAATATTATTTATTATATTATACAGTACAGATGAGTAGTGTTTACTGGCTAGATCTTTATCCAGCTTAGGCTCTTATTTAAAGTTTGCGGATGAATCAGGGCTAGGGGTTGATCATACCAAACTCTCCAAACTTCATCTCATGAGACTTCAAATGAAATTTCAGCTATGTCCAAAAAGGAATCAGAAAATAGTCTCCATTCTGGGTTGGAGTCTGACTCGGACCCTGTAAAATAGGGACAGATTTAGAATTAGGAATTCAAATTTGAAGTCTCTTTTCCCTAAATTTAAAAATGGTTTGGATTCAGGGTTCCAGTTTTGGCCCAGATAGCTTTGCAATACTGGGGGTAATATAATAGGACATATTTTGAAACTTAACACAATAGCTACCTCATCCTGGACAGTGTTACTATGACACTGGAATAATGGAAAGGAACTGTGCTGTTTTCTGTTATTTTAGAGGTACCATAGTTAGATATCTCATAATGGATGTTTCAAGGCTAAATCATTGTTAAATTATTTGCAATCTTCAGACTGAAGGGACTATAGAACTATAAAGTGGTATAGGATCTAGCCATTTGTTACATACTTGTGTGATCAGGTAATGAAAGATCCCTATTGTAATATTTATCTTTAAGGGAGAGAGATTCAAGGTTGTTATGACAAATTCAGAAAACTGAGATTAACTTTTGTGGGGGTTAAAATATCCTTAAAATGCATCAATAGAAGCCTTTTTGGCATATAAAATACTAATGGACAAATTAAATTGCTTTGTTTGGTTAGCACAAATTTTAAATTCTCAGTCTTGATTATTTTCATATGCATAAATTCTAAGTGAAAAGTTAGTACTCATTAATTAAACCAATATGTTAATATCTCTGTCTGACACGTACAAAACTTCTTAAAATTCAACAGCTGTGTTCTATGCATGCTTGTTTTTGATTACACAGTAGCATCTTACAAATGTACAGCAATAAGCATTAATCATCTGTCAGATTAACTGAAAAACTACAAGCTTGGAGTTAGCTATGAATATTTTGTGATGATCTGGGCAGTTTCAGATAGTCAGCTTGTGTTTAAATATAGTGATTTAAAAAAAATATGGCTGAAATGTAAACAGTATTATTGTAGTCTAATACCACATTAGAGGAGATGCAGCATCCCAGTGCTCTTAGTTTAAGGTCACTACAAATGGAAGATTAGCAAACCCATCTTCTTTGAAGTGGAAATTTCCCATTTTCTTTAAAGTATGTTCTTTGCTATTTGATGCAAAATTTCTAGATGTCACGAACAGCTGTATGAAATGTATATTATGTTAATTCTGTTTTTATGGCAAAAGTAAAGTGAATATCCTGCAAAAACATGATTTTGAGACCATAACTTGGGAAAAGTGAAGATAACAAGGAAATAAATTACTACTTGAGTGTGGTAATGAACATGTTTCACATAAAGGGACACTTAAAAGAAGCTAGAAACTTCGAATGTTACAGGGTGAGGTGAATGATGCAAAATCCACTGCAGTCAATGGAAATGTTCGGATGGACTTCTGTGGGCTTTGGATGAGGCCCACAAAGGAGAGGGAAGGAGAAACAAAAATGAATTATGTTGGAAGTGAATCAAAGAATGAGATGTAATATGATGCAGTTGAGGCTAGAGAGAGAGATTGAGAATATCAGATGCAAGTGAATATAAAGTAGAAATTTGACATAATACTAGAGCAGTAATGCTTTTTTAGTGCAAGAAAAGGATGTGTGGGACAGGATCTGGAAGGGACAAAATATCAAAGGGGCAGAATTGGGAAAAATAACTAGGAAGAACAGAATGAGAAATGACCCTATGTCCCCTACAGGCCCTTCACACCCCAGTAACTTTCCAGACTCTCTCCTTGAACCCCTAAAACAGCTCATGCCATACTCTGATCCCAGTGGCTTCCCTATTTCCTCCCATACTTATAAATTATTTAGGGATCAGAGTCCTGCCCAACCCCCTGCTTCCATTGCTTGGGAGCATTCAGAGAGGGAAATCGGTGATTCTTTCTCAACTTTGACGCACGTGGAGCTGCACAAAACTTAGCATAGGTGGTTGCGAAGTGGGGGGGCATGGGAGGGGGAAGTTGGTCAGAAACTCCTTCCTACCCACATATACTTCTCTTATACCAATTAAACCATTGAAGAAGGGTGCCTAAAATGTGAAGCACTAATTCTGATATATATACAGCATCTCTTACATATAAACAACCTCTCTATAGAAGCAAGTATCTGATCATATTGCATGCTGCTTAAATTCAGAACTTCTTATTGAACAGGGAATGTATGCTGCTGTCTTTGGCAGGAATTCATTGAAACTACATGCAACAGTCATTGTTGTGGTTCTAAAGTGAATAGATAAATTGAGTCAAATGCTACATTCTGATCCATTCATTTGTAGTCCATGTCTTACAGATAATGCTTGTATTCCATAACAAAATTTGATTAATCTCTGAAAAGAGAAAAGAACCGTGGGTGGCCTTCCCAAAGGGGAGCTAGGTAGAATGAAAAGGTGGTAGATTTATAGAGTTTAATACCAGATAGAACCATGAGATCATCTAGTCCAGAGGTTCTCAAACTTCATTGCAGTGCTACCCTCTTCTGACGACAAAAATTACTGCACGATCCCAGGAGGAGGGACTGAAGCCTGAGCCTGGCCGAGCCCCCCTGCCTGGGGACACACAAAGCCAAAGCCCAAGCCCCTCTACATTGGGTCGGACCAAAGCCCAAGGCCCCCAGGCCTGTAACCTGAACCCCGCTACCCAGAACTGAAGCCCTCTGGTTTTGGCTTCGACCCTGGGCCCCAGCAAATCTAAGCCAGCCCTGGCGACCCCACTTTGGGGTCCCGATCCACAGTTTGAGAATCGCTGACCTAATCTGACCTTCTCTATTACACACACCATTACATTTCATCCAGTTATGCCTTTATTGACCTTGTTTGACTAAAGTTAGTGGTTCTCAAACTATGGGGCGGGCCTCCCAAGGAGAGCACAGGAATGTGTCAAAGGAGGTGTGAGCTGTGTGTGCGGTTTTGTGTGTGTGTGTTTGGGTTTTTTGGAAGAGCTCTGTCTGTCAGCCCTGTGTAGCTGGGGCTCATGCAGAAGGGCCATGCATACCCAGGAGGTGGGGATAAAGGAGACAGCTGGAGCCCTGCCGCTTGGTCTCTTCTCCTCTCCCTGCCCCCGCCCCCGCCCCCCTGCGAATTTCTCACCTGGAGGCGGCAGAGCTCTGGCAGTCAGCCCCCCGGGTGGCAGAAGCAATGCAGAGGTAAGGGTGGTAATGCGGTGCTAAGTCTGCTGTGAAAAGTGATATTGACAAAGTGATATTCACATTCCCACTCTTACTTCTGTGCTGCTGCTGGTGTGATGGTGCCTTCAGAGCTGGGCACCCAGCCAACAACCGCTGCTCTCCACTCTGCCTTCAGAGCTGGGTGGCAGTAGATGTACTTGGGGGTGGTGTTGAGTTGAGGGCATAAACGACTACAGACACGAAGAAGGGGAGCCTAGTCCAGCGGTTCTCAAATGTATTTGGTTAAAGTATACCATCCAGAAAGGCATCCAGTCTTGATCCGAAGACTTTAAGGGATGGATAATCTACTACTATTCTTGGTAGCTTGTAATCACCCCCACTGTTTAGAAAAATTGTGATTCATTCTAATTTTAATTTGTCTGGCTTTGACTTCTAGCCTTTGGTTTTTGTTATGCCTTTCTCCACTAGATTAAAGAGCCCTTTAGTACCTGGTAGTTTCTCACCTTGAAGGTATTTATACACTGCAATTAAGTCATCTTTTTGATAAGCTAAACAGAATGAGCTCTTGCAGTGTCTCATTTCCTCCAGCCCTCAGATAATATTTTTTTCTTTTCTACATTAACAACTTTTCAACTTTCTTTTTAAAATGTGGACCCAAGAACTGTAGCTTAAGTTTGAGCACTTAGTTATCCCTGCCTGTCCTCGTGGGACTGATAAATAGCATTGAGCCTGATCATGGCCTGCATGGGAGACCACAGTGAAATATCTCGACTGCAGGAAGATGCTGGCAATTCCCTTTTGGATCAGTACTCAACCGGTGGCCTAGCATGTACTGCATGACATTATGATGTTGGAAGTGCTGACTTTCTGATCATATATAACTGAGGTTCTGACTAGGGTTGTCACCCCCTGAGGTATAAAAAAACAGGACATCCAGAATGAGCCTGAGCCCAAAACACTAAAATTGGCCAGCTGGCAGTGTGTACTGAAATCTTACTGATTTCCCAGGACAGCTGCGTCAAAAAAGGGACAATTCTGGGAAAACCTGGGCAGGTGGCAACCCTAGTTCTGACTACTTCTCATCTTTTTAAATATATCATAGTCTCTTTTTTAAGAATAGGGAGGTTAACCCTGGTTTGCTGCCAAATGGCAACAGTGGTTAGTAATCTGTCTGCTTAATAGCTATTGTAGTTTCTCGCCTGGATATAATTAGGGCCCTACCAAATTCATGGCCATGAAAAATGTGTCACGCACTGTGAAATCTCGTCTCGCCCCCATAAATCTGGTCTTTTGTGTGCTTTTACTCTACAGATTTCATAGGGGGATACCAGCATTTCTCAAATTGGGGGGGCCTGACCCAAAGGAGTTGCAGGGGGGTTGCAAGGTTATTTGCGGGGGGGGGGAGGGTCATGGTATTGCCACCTGTACTTCTGTGTTGCCTTCAGATCTGGGTGGCCGGAGAGCAGTGGCTGTTGGCTGGGCACCCAGCTATGAAGACACCATCCTGCCAGCAGCAGCGCAGAAGTAAGGGTGGCAATACCATACCATACCACCCTTACTGCTGCACTGCTGCTGGCGGCGGCTCTGCCTTCAGAGCTGGGCTCCCGGCCAGCAGCCGCCGCTCTCCAGCTGCCCAGCTCTGAAGGCAGTGCTGCCACCAGCAGCAGTGCAGAAGTAAGGGTAACTGTACTGCAACCTCCCCTAGAAAAACCCTGCGATCCCTTCTCTCCCCCAGTTCCTTTTTGGGTCAGGACCCCTACAATTACAACACTGTGAAATTTCAGATTTAAATAGGTGAAATCATGAAATTAACGATTTTAAAAAATCCTATGACAGTGAAATTGAGTGAAATGGACTGTGAATTTGGTAGGGCCCTAGATATAACATTCACTTGCTGCCTAAACTGTTGTGTAGCATTGCTGTGCACTGTTAAGCAACCACTGCATCTCACTCCAGAGGTGGCCCTGTTTCGTGGTCGCTAAAGTTTAATCCTATGTGTATTTATATAAATATTATCAGAGAAATTACTTCTTCCCTCTCAAATATGGAATTTCATCTCCCTGTCCCCTGCTTTCTACCTTATTTTCCCCTCCCTAAAAATATTATACTGCTCTGAGGTGCTGGAGAGCCTATATGAGTTCTGAGCTAGACAGGTTTAAGAGCTGATCTCTTGCGATCCCAGAGCGCTGTAAACAGGTATTCAATATCATCATAAATCCGGAAACACCTCTTCTTTTAATGGCAGAACAAATCCATTGTCCCCACCCCAGTAAATTATACAGTATTGTATTAGTCTTTAAAACCAAAGTGTTCTTTCCTATATTATTCCTCTAATGTCCCTGCTGTCTGTCTGTCCTTTTGAATACTGTGTATATAACCATATAAACAAAAAAGATGCCTTAATCCTAAGTGATTCACTGTATTGACTAAATCATGGTCAATGTTTTAAAGGAACTTAGTCTCCTAAATCAGTATTTAGGCACCTAAATAAGAGGCAAGACTTTCAAAAGTGCTGGGAACTCAACAATTCCCATTGAGGGGACAGCACCATGCTCAGCACTATTGGAAACCAGGCCTCTAATTTTGGAGCATAGCTTTAGACACCTAGTTTTGAATCTCATGGCCCATGTTTTTAATTTGTCATATAAAAACTCTAAAATGTGCTCTGTTATTTACCTTTTAAAATAACATTGACAGTCTTGTTTAACTATTTTATTTTCAAACAGCAAGATAACAGAGACATGTTCCACAGTGTACGACACATGATATATGATCTTATTGAATGGAGATCACAGATACTTTCTGGAACTCTACCCCAAGATGAGCTCAAGGAACTGAAAAAGAAAGTGACTGCCAAAATAGATTATGGAAACAGGTTTGTGATGACTACTTCATAGTGTGCGCTTCTTGAGGGAGTGGGGGGAATCAGCCTTGTCGTATTATATAGCAGTACAAAGGCACCGCATATATATGAAGAAAGTAGTTCTGTAAGGAGTAGTACTTGTATTTTAAGTAGCAATCTTTTTAGAGTATGGCAAAGTGGGAAAAATTGCAATATAAAAGCATTTTGATACAGTACAAATTATAATTTGTGTACTAGAATCTTTCTGTTAAGCTGTCACTCATAAACTTTGTGACACCATCAATTTGATGTCAGCTTAAAACTATGATTTTTCTGAGGTCAGATGAAAAATAAAAATGTTCCTGTCTTTGAAAACCCTTTGACAATTCCACATAAACTGTTGCTGCCTCTCTAGTATCACCAGCTGTTTGCACTCTGAACTTGTTAATCCTCTCATGCAGTGCTAGAGGATTTGTCTGGGAAATGTGGGGTATCTCATTGTGCTGCTGCTTGTGTAGTATCTAGCTTGTATTAATGGTTATACTGTTAAAAGTTTATTAGATTTCGTAAGCATTTATATTCCTCCAGAAGATGAGGATAAAAACCAGAAATGGCACCTAATTAATGACAGATGTTACAATGGGACATGCATCAGATATGTCAGCAACTTAGATGAGGTGACTTTTGATTTAAGGCTAAGCATCCTGAAAACTATTTGGATGGAGGGAATGTTGTGTTTGAAAATTGAACTGGTTAGCTGTAGATTAAATCATCCCACGGTAAGGAGGAATGTCATACTATTAAGTTGTGACATTTTTTAATTGAAAGCGAGGGATCTTTCCTTGCTGATACACAAAATTGGAATCTGGTCAAAGTAGCATTCTCAATAATGAGAAGGTGGGGTAATATAAGGTTATTGAACTCCTGGGGATGGAAGATTGATCATCCAAACTTTCTTTAAGTGCCACTGTAGTATGATTAGCTCATGAGAATTCAGCTATTTGTGCTTTGCTACTTAAATACTGCAGGTTCTTCAGTTCTTGTGCTCATGTACTTTTTCAGCAAAAATAGTGATAAAAAAATCACTAACTCCATTCAGTAAGTAATTTTACATTTATAATCCAAGATGCGGTCTGTTGTACCCCAGTAGACAGTTAACCAGATGTTGTTGATATTATTTGTTTGGCTACTGTATTTTACCATCTGGTTAAGGAGTTGGTTAAAGTTACTCTGAATAACGTCCAGATGCTCAGTGTTCAACACAATAGAACATCTTGTACTGTGTCTTTTATTCATAATGTTCTGATGGACTAATTAAGTGATCAAAACATTCCCTGTAGAGTAGGGGAGAGAATTGAATTTGAACTTTTGAGTAAATATGCACATTTAAAAGGGTGCAGTATCTTTTTAGTGTAGCCATATATCATGTTTTGCGTAAAATGAAATAAAATGACAATTTCTAATATCCAGATATAAGAAATATTCATTATGCATTAAATATATACTCTCTGGATTTCATGTATGTGCTTACTTTTTCCATTGTTTCCTGAAAGTAATTATATGAATGAGCTTTTATATAAATAAAGGCAGGATATTAATTTTATTGTGTTGTGATAATCAAAAACTTTATCATTGTGGATTTATGGACTTTTGTTTTTTAAATGGGTAGATATGAGATTATGAGACTGGATCAGTTTATTGTGTATAGCTGACAGGTTTCTTTTTGGGGTTGAAAAGCTGATTGTAAACAAAATTAAACACTTGGGAACAACTCCTTAGTCATTGACATGTTTTCACAAATGTCACCTGTAAGTAGGGTCGACCAGATGTCCTGATATTTGGGTCCATCCCCGTCCTGATTTTTCACATTTGCTGGTTGTCACCCTACCTGTAAGTTAAAGAGAAATGAAAACATAAAGTCAAAGTAGTTTCTGCTCTTGTTCATTTGACAGTCTGCGCCAGTGGTTTCCACTCTGTTGTTTATAGTTGCAAGGCGGAATGATCAATCACTGAGTATTAGATTATTTCCCACCCCCCCCCAACCCCAATCCGGCTACACCCTTCTAGATACAGGATGGCTCCTGTGCTTTCCTGAGCTCCAGGCAGAAGCATTTGGCTCCTCACAGAGCAGATAACTGGCTGAATCGATGTGCCAAATATTTTCAGTGACAGGCTCCTGTAGCCACAGTTGTTGTAAATCCTCTCATTCTGCTTCCAAACCTAGGCTAGGAGTGTCTCTGCTCTCTCACGGTACGCAGAAGAGGGTCTCATGTCCACACCTGTGGCAGCAGTGGCAGATGAGGATGCTGTGCCTGCTCTTTATCTCAGGCTTCAACCGGAGAGTCTAGCCCTCCTTAGGAGCTGAAGCCAGTCAATGCATATTGTAAGGTTTCCTGAACTGTCCTCTGGCAACCCCACTGTCTTTAGCACTCATGTTCCACTCCAGGGCAAACAGTATTTCAAAGAGCCCAGTGTCACAGATCCAGTTGGGCACCCTCTTGCTGGTTACCCTTCAAACTTGGAGGGAATCCAAGCCTCTGTGTCCTTGGATGGCTTAAGCCTCTCAAGCCTGAATGGAGTCCAGCCACTCCTCTAATCTCTGGGTTCCTTGGCACATGCTCTGGGTGCACACCTCCTGTCCACACCTCATCTTGAGAGCTGGAAACTGCTGTCCAGCTGCCTAGCCCCTCAGGGCTCAGTGCTGACCCTTCAGATTCCCTCATGCTTAAGCACATCTTCTCCCAGAACGCCACCCCAAACGCGTGAACTTTCTGGTTTGCAGTGGAATTCTTTCACGTGGCATGCAGTAGTTGTAAAGCATTTTACATACAGGAGAGGTACAGGTCTAACACATTTGCTCTTTTTGTCATCTGCACAAACTTTCCCCCAGCACGGGCTATTGTGCATGCTTCAAGGACAGATGTAGCTTTTGGTGCAGCTGTTTTTTTATCTCTACTAGATCGGTCATCCTGGCACCCACCCCCAGAAGTTTGGACGCTGCTCAGAACTCATCTACAGTGAAGGACCCATAGAGATAATTATTCAAACAAGGAGAGATTACTTACCTGTACAGTAACTACAGTTCTTTGAGATGTTCTGTTTCTATTAATGCGTCACTACCTGCACTCCTTCCCCTCTACTTTGCAGTCCTTGCCTTGGCTGGATTGCCTAGTTGAGAAGGTACCAGAGTGGCGATGGGTCCACCCTCCCTTGAATCAGAACACAAGGATGTATAGGGCGCAGATGCAGATCTTGCAGACACTACTACCAAAATCTCAGGTCGAAAGCCTGAGGGTTTGCACACATCTGAAGTGCAGCACCCACAGGGCTAAAACATCTCAAAGAACTGCAGTTACTGTATGGGTAAGTAACCTCTCCTTCTGTTGGGAACCCTTCTGGGCTCAGGAAAGAAGGGAGGGCTTCCTGCTTTTTGCAGCCTCTAAATGCTAAGTTGCTGGAGACACGGCTGGAGACAAAAGACCCCGACCCATCAGCTCTTCACTATTGATAACTTTCAGCCCCTTCTGTCAGGTGACATCCAGCTCCGTCTCCCCAGTTGACCAGAAAGCCTGTAGGGTGACCAGATGTCCCTATTTTATAGGAACAGTCCTGATTTTTGGGTCTTTTTCTTATATAGGCTCCTATTACACCCCCCACCCTATGTCCTGATTTTTCATATTTACTGTCTGGTCACCCTAATCCCCTGCTAAACCTGTTCTTATGGTTGGGAGCCCGCCTTTTTTAAAGAGCTGTTCTCCTTCACTGGAAGAGTACTTAACTTCGACAACTCTTTTGTTGTTCTTTTGCCCCAAATCTTTGGAATTTCAGCCCTACATAGAGGCAAACAAACAGCAGAGAAGGCAAAAGGTTGCACATTCAAAATTGAGTTTGCAGCCTGGTAAAGACACAGAGTTTGTAATCTCACTCTGTTCATAAATTCTACAGACAGATACCCAAATCATCACGTCCTCTGCCCCAGCTTTTCTGAGCAGCAGCCCTATAAACTTTAGCACTCAAATCCTTTCTCCTAACTTAGGGACAGTGCACAGTTTTAGATGATGGTTCTGTACAAAGACCCTGGAACACCACAGCACTTCGTTCCTCCTTCAACTCAAGGCAAGTCGTTGAAGAGTTTCTTGCACTGAGACTGGAGGACGCTCAACTTCTCAACAGTCCTGCGTTTCCTCCTTTCATGGGAATGATACTCTCAGGCCCTTAATTTAAGGTCCTCAGGTGGTAGTGTTTTATTTCAGGTAATCTGGAATGTTATCTAGAGGGGATTTTCCCTAGGATCCTGTCCTTGGTGTGTCACACTGTCAAGGACTCCATGGCTCCATATGCTCATGAGGCTTCTCCTCTAACCTTATGCGTGGCTCCTCCAGCTTCCGCACCCAGCTAGAAATGGTTCAGAGTCTTCCCTGCAGAAGAGAGGAAGGAGAAACTGCTACCTCCTGTCTATGTACTTCCTACTCAGAAGAGTCAGGCTTTGTATGACATTTCAGTGCTGATGATTGGGATTCACCCAATTGGGATTTCTAGGACTCTAGATTTTAGCAAACTCCTGACAAAAGGACTGCCAAAACAAGAATTCACAAGAGAACAGGAAAGAGTAATTCCCTGAGGATATTTGGAAGATTAAGACCTTTTCTCTTCCTCAAGGCCTTGGCCAAGATTGTTAGAGAGACTTGGAGGGATATAAACGGTATGTTCTTCGTTCCTTGGTTTTATGACAAGTTCTGGAGCTGGCACAATGGAAAACAGATGATCCTCCCAAAAGATAGGCTGTGTGTATGGGGATAAAAAATCTTTCTGAAGAGGCTAACCCTTGACACTTGGACCCTACTGACAGAAAATGGGATTCTGCCTTAAGGAAAGATAAAGGTCTTAGTATCTCCTTTGCTGGGTCTCATAGCTTTTGCTTTTATGGATTTGTGGATTTCTGAAGTAACATGGAACTGCCTGCCCAGGAAGATTTTTAAAAAAGAAGCTAGAACTCATTTATTTGACCACCAATTTATATGTGATACTACTCACTTTGTTTGTCCAGAATGTCAAATGAGACAGAGCAGAAAAAGAGATTTTCTCATCGTATAAATCCGGTATCTGTGATTACATATTCAACATTCTGCAATTCTTGCAGGCCTTTTATGCATAATGATAAGTAATCTGTAACTTTTTACATAGGATTCTTGATTTGGATCTGGTTGTAAGGGATGAAGATGGCAACATTTTAGATCCAGAACAAACCAGCACAATCAGCCTTTTTAGAGCTCATGAAATAGCTTCCAAGCAAGTTGAGGAAAGACTACTAGAAGAAAAGGTAAGATACACTATCCCCAACTGTTACCTTTTAAAATTAAGAATCATGTAAATTAATGTAAAAAATAATGATAAAATATAATTAAAACAGGAATTTGGCTTAGTCTTCTGTTTTAGTCCATGAAGCATTCTCAAGATCAAAAGTATCAAAAATACATTGTATAGCTTATCTTATATGGGCTGCATAACTTATCCCCTCTTAAAAAATGATTCCTATACTTCAGAAGTGTAAATGTTGATATAATATTCTACCAATAAAATAATTGATGGATTACTATGAGAGAGAACTACGAAGATGACATGAGAGAGGAGATGCATATTTAATGAACTTGTATATATTAATGGTTGTTTTTCTTGAGGCTTAATTTAGGATACAGTGCTGTGGTTCAGATCAGTTAATATTTTCATTAGGATTGTATATGGGATCTGTATGCTGAGTTTAAAAATGTACTTGTTGAATCATCTGTGACAAGTAAAAAAGGTTCCCTGATAAATGTGGAGGCAAAGCAAAAATTTTGCAGAATTTAAACTTTGCTTAAAAAATAAATTCTCTCTCCCAAAGACCTGTCCAGATGTGAACAGTGAAATCTGCTCTTCCTGAAGTTTTATACAGATGGTTTCATTGTCTCTGCTGCTACTCACTGGTTTGCCAAGCAGGAGCAGAGTGTAATTAACAAAGCTCTGGACAGGTTGTGGTGCTGTTTATAGTCATCTTCTTGTTTCTCTTGGGAAAGCTCGAAGCAGCAACGACAGAGGCAGGCCCTAAAGTCATCCATTGCGGAGAAAGACTTAAAAAATAAAAATTTGGGGAAGGGCAGAGTAGTGGTCCCGTCTTCTCCCCCTTCTTTCCTTGTAGCCTGTAGGAGGCCAGGGAAAGAGTAGAAGAGTGGAGACTGAAGGAAAGCTCTTCTGTTCCAGCAGACAAATTTGAAGCTTGATCCTTTGCTCCATTCTGTCTGTTCCCCCTTGGTAGCTAGAAACTAATACAAAACAGAGCTCCAAGGAGGGTCCAAGTAGAGCAGCCTGCCAGAAATCTCAGCACTCTTCCTATTCCCAGTATAGAAAATGGCAAGGGCTGGGGCTTCTTCCCCCTGGAGGGGATGCACTCTTCTTTTGCCCTAAATGTTTCAGGTAAACATTTCATAGTGGAAGGGTAAGATTTAAGGATATGATTTAAGGGTGTGATTCTAGTCGTTAGTGCTGTTTAAATTTGACTGTTTTGTCTCTATTAAATTACAGTCTCAAAAGCAGAACATTGATATTAACAGACAAGCCAAATTTGCCGCCACGCCTTCGTTTGCTTTATTTGTAAATTTAAAAAATGTAGTCTGCAAAATAGGAGAAGATGCTGAAGTCCTGATGTCTCTGTACGACCCACTAGAATCAAAGTTTATCAGGTTAGTGTTGCCTGTCTGTTGCACTATGTATACCTGTTTATCTTGTGTCTCTGGATTTTGGTCGAGTCACGGCAGATTGGAGAGGTCAGTTTGGTGGGTAAACTTTAGCAGAAAGTTAGCTGGGAAGCATGGATTATACAGCACTTCATCTGCTTTATTCAACACAGCAACAGAATAGTCTCCCTTGCTTCAGTACATTAAGAATTTGTAGTGTTCCTTATTGTATTGTCTTTAGTTCCACCTGTGTAGAGGTAAATGACACATGAACAAGGCTTGGCTCATTCACTGTTCAGCTGCCTTGGCAGTCATCAGAGAGACTGAGTGTTCTGGATCCCCTGCTTCCTTACAGGGACTGCATTCTACTAGGCTGAAGAAGAATTGCTCTTCTATTCATATTACATGCACAAAGCACAATAGCAGCTGCCCACTGAGTAAATGTTCTGTGATTGTAATAGGAGTGAAACACACCTGTGATATCAGGTTTAAAGAGACAAGAGTATATTACTTTTTGACCCCCATAAAACTTCATCATTAGTATCCATATATGGTTATATGAATTATAAAATTACTTCTGTTGGCATCTAAAGTTAATGTTGATACATTTTTGGTTTAGATTTTAAAGTATGGTTCTATTCTAAAAAGTGACTTTAAAAATGCAATTATGTGGTACCATATTAGTGTCTCACTCAACAGATTAGATCTGGAAATCAGGTGGTTGGTTTGTGGTTTTTTTCAAACTACCTGCCATGCAAACTCAAACTGAGAACTGAAAGTCAAGCTGGGTACTTTTGGCTCATGCATGACCAACGACAGAACTCAGTTAATTGTCCTACTGTTTCATGAGCTGAATAAGAATCCAGCTCACTGTCTCAGAGCTGCACTGTCACTCCTGTATTAAGAGGTGTAAAACACCAAAACTAAACCCTCCCCCTCTACCAAAATAACAAGAAAACCCAAAATATAATTTAGTCAGTAAAATGACAGAAATGGCAATGTTTACACACCAGGAACAAGCAATTGGGTAAGAAGATGCTATTTAGTATAATCTCTTCACTGAGCAGAATCTCACTTATAGTGCTGAAAAATAGGTTGTTTAATGTGAACTTAACCTAATTTTGTAACATCTGAACTCATACATATATATCTAAATGCATATCTATATATATTTTTAAAACCTTGTTCTTACAGTGAAAACTATCTAGTTCGATGGTCAAGTTCTGGGCTGCCTAAAGACATAGACAGGTTACATAATCTTCGAGCTGTGTTCACTGTAAGTGTGCTTTTGTTTTTGCAGCGTTTAAAGCGCTTTGTTTCCTATCTTGAAAAATGCTAAAGAGTTAACAGGAAGTAGACTACCTTTGCAGACTTGAATTTAGGTCCTGGAGAAACTTATAAGTCACTCCTTGTTAATTACTCTAATGCAATTTCTGACAACTGTGGTTCATGTGGGTAAAGGCCAAGTTGAACCTCTGACAATTGTGAAAAAAATTTAAACTGTTCAAAAATAGTTGGACTCCTTGGCTTCTGTGTAAAATTAATGGCTTAAATATTGTTATGAAAATTCTATTGTCATGAGAATAACTTATTCTAATGCTAAAAGATGAAAAGACTTTTACATTCTGAACAACAACTTGTCTTTCTGCTGGCTACTAAAGTAGAATAGGATTCTTATAATGTATGGAAATTAATATTTCTAGGATCTTGGCAGCAAAGACCTGAAAAGAGAGAAAATCAGTTTTGTCTGTCAGATTGTAAGAGTTGGCAGAATGGAACTAAGAGACAACAACACAAGAAAACTAACCTCTGGGCTAAGACGACCTTTTGGAGTAGCAGGTAATCTATTCTCCTTAGTTTTTACATAGTCAGAATTCACTGTAAATAAGAGCTTCTTTTAATATTGAATAATTGTTCCATGTTTTTGTCAGCTTTTTGGTAAGGGGGAAAAACAAGCTACTAAATCTTTTGTGTGCATATTAGATACATATGTTACACTTGATGTAATTTCACTTAGAAAGGAAAAATCAAATGCACAACTACAAAATGGCAAATAACTGGCTTGGTGGTAGTACTATGGGAAAGGATCTGGAGGGTATGGTGGATCACAAATTGAATATGAATCAATAATGTAGAGA